ATTTACATCGTGGGGGGGCGGGGTGGCGGGCGGCTACGACAGCTACAATAGCTTGCCAATTTTGCGGCAGCTTGGTTCGTCTACTTTGCGAACCACTTTGGCACACGGCCATCCGTCACAAGGAAGCAACTCACTCAGACTTTTGGGAACTATGAAATGTTAAAATGGTGGCTCGACTCGAACCCTTTCCTAGGCTGGAATTAACAAACGTGGTTGATTACCCTTTTTTTTTTTAACCTCCACGTCTGGGAAAGCGGTCTACTTTTTAAAAGTAAAAAGGTGAGCACCGCGCACACGCTGATAATTAGTTCCCAAAATGAGCATAAAACCTCGCGGTTACACACACCCGCACAGACGGGCTCGAGAGAAGAGCGACTATAAAACAGGCCTGAATCTGCAGCGTCAGCGAGCCCGTTACAAGCGCCGGCAGGCTCTTTGCGATGCGAGCGCGCATTGTACGCTTCGAGGCAGAGCTGCTTCGGGTTTAATGATCCCAGTAAAGCAGCGGTAGCATTCCCGCTTGCAGGAAAGGCCCTCATTAGATGAGCCAGGGAGGCTGCAACCGCCACCCCCGAGGGTGGTTTTTACTCCACTGACCTCTATTTATTGGATGCACAAGGCTACACCCTGGTCCACTTTTTCATGTCTGTGGACATGAGTTAAGCGGTTCCAGAAAAAAAACGGTGGGCAAGATGTAAAAAGTTTCAACCGCTCATGGCGGTCGTTTGGCAGAACGAGCATTTGTTGTCATAATTTCCTCGCAAAATTTACAAGCGTTCATAGAAACATCCTGGGAAATTAAGCATCTTGTTGGGGGATCCTTTAAACCCTGAACGCCAGGAAACAGTACAAGTGGCACCTGGAGTGGTTTGGAGTTTTAATTGGGCTTATTTAGAAACGTTAAGACGCTTGCTTGGGAAAACATCGCGCTCAACGCACCGATACTCTCAAAGACAGAAAAAAAATCCCTTCATTTATCGACAGCAATTACTCCCAACCGTGTGTGAGAAGACATTTTGTGTGACTTACCTTGTTTTAACCAACCCTGTTAGAATGTCATCTTGGTCTAACGTGTTAATGTGTATCACAAAAATAATGGGGGGGGAATCTGCTGCTTTTTGGGGGTGGGGGGCACATTTAAAAATGCAGACAAGCCCTAATTGTCAGTGCACATTCCTTGAAAAGTAGTTGTACTACCAGATAGTTGGAATGACGGGTGTATTTTTGTCTCTTTTACCCATTTGATATATAATGCGTTTCATTTTAAAAAATGGTGAAAAGAGCTCAAAATAATTGCCTCTATCGATATTGATATACAAAATGACCTATTACACTATTCAAATAAATCTATGACAAAATGATGGCATCAATGACATTCCCTAATTTGTATTTCCTTCCCTCAAAAAAAAATCGGAACCCATAAAAGTAATTTATGTATGGGAATGTCTAAATTCTTTTTCCCCATCACAATAAAAGGAGTGTACCTTTTCAATCTCTCGGGCTTTAGCTGCGATTGCCAGCGATCGCTTCTCCTTGTAGTCGTCCGCGGTGATCTTGTGACTCTCCTCCACGACAGCGGCCGGCGGCGGCTCCTCTTTTTCGGCTTCGCCCGCATTGCTCTCCTCCTAAAAAGGGAGAGGCGGGAATGTCATTTCAACCAGACATATGGCGACATTTAATTTTCGGGTAGGCTTACAGGGTGAGCAAACATTTCCTGACAAGCTAATTCAGAGCACCATTTAAAAAAAATAAAATAAAATAAAGGAAAACAATGGCAGTTTGGGGCTAATATCCCTGTGTGAATCATTCAATTCAAGTGACTGGACACCACCCAACATGAAAGGCCAGAGTAGGTCCAAACAGGAATCTTTCGAAACTGGGGCAGACTTTAATGTGATTTTTCGGGAAATGGTGTGCTTTTCTAATGTTCTAGGACGGTTGTGCGCCAAATGACTGTGATTTGGCAGGGGAGCGGACTCGCTACAACAACTTGCCCCAATTTCATATTTCAGCCACAGTGGAACTCTCCACTATGTCCTCACAGACTGAACTGCCGTTCAAGTCAATTCATATAAATTCAGTCGCGCTGAGAGTCAAACTGTTTTGGGGCGGCGAGGTCAGTCTGGAGACGGCTCCAGAAATCCTTGTTTGTTGACTCTCTACAGCAGGCCGCGGCTGGGGGGCCATTAGTGCAGCCTTTACAGGGGGCACAGCGCGGGCCTTTCATCTTGGCAAAGGTTATTGGGTTGGTGGCCCCCCCACATGACAAGGAAACAATGCAGCGGGCCCAACATCAAACGCTGCAAATCAGCGGCAGTGCGCCGGAAAGGTGGAGCACTCGGGTGCCGGTCGGCAACTGACAAAACAGCTTGAGCAGAACGCACCAAGCATCCGTGATCTGAAGTTGAATGGACGGGCTCTGGATTGAAGGTGCTAGCGCTAAGGGGCTACCAAACGCAGCAAGTTGGGAGCCCCTCCGCCCCACGAGTTTAAATAGCGGGCTGAGTTGTGCTCCATAGGGGAGGCGCTCTCTCTGCTTTGTGGCGAAGAAAGATCCCCTGATAAAAACGATGGCTCGGGCGAACGCCTTGAGCCGTCTCACTTCTGGGTGGCCGCACCGGTGCGGCTCGTCACATCTGCCTCGACTTAACCTGCAGCTGTGGCGATGGAAATGGAGGATATATCAGCAAAACTATTATTTACAAAGCCGCCTCGGTCAATATATGCGGCAGTAAAGAGCAGTATTGTTGTTGGGAAAAAAAAAATAAAAAATTCTAATCATAATAAAACACGACTTAAGACTCTGGGTGATGCTCGAGCCGTCCTCTCCCGCCATCGTTACAAGCCCACATGACTGAAGTCTGCTTACACGGCAGGTAAACAAAAGCACGGGGCCACTTTAAAAGCTATTAAAATACTTCAAGGGGTTTAAAAGACAGAATTTAAAATGGTCAACATGCAGTTTTCTATCAGTCTTGTATGTGTGTGTGTGTGTGTGTGTGTGTGTGTGTGTGTGTGTGTGTGTGTTTTTTTTTAATCACCGTGAGCTCACCTTGTTTGAGGTGGCACTGCTCGGGGAACCTTCTCTTGACAGACCCGGGATCTTATCTGAGGAAAAAAAAATGACAAAGCAAAGATTGAGGAAAGCAACAAAAGGACACATGAAGAAAAAAAAAGGAGGATGAGGATTCAAGGAGGAAGGGTAAACTAGAATGCAGCAGGACGACGACTTCCAGGACAATTAAGCAAGCAGTTTGCACTGCAAATCCGTCAACCCTCAAACAATTTTCTCCAAGCGGACGCGACTTTGCTCCACGCAAGGCTTTCTTGCCAAGCAGCACGCGTGAAGAACGTCGATGTGGTGGCGGCTTTCACTTCAGGTATATCTATCAGACAGCCACTCTGCGGTCTTTCCCACACACAAGCCGGTGGCACGTTTACGAGGTCGGACAAAGGTGGCTGCCGGATGCATTAGAAATGCTCTCCTCCTCCTCTCAAGTTACCCGACAGGTTACGTTTAACTGCGCTGACCCCTGGAAGAAAATTCTCTGCCCGTCGCTCGCCTCCCTTCAATTTGTGTTTTGTAGCAGAGAGATGATGCGCAAGAACAGTCCCGAAAACTGTCTCATTTCTTTTATAAGAAACATATGAGATCGCCTTCATTTAGTTTCATCCACTTTGGAGGATCTTGCAGGCAATTTTAGGACAAAATTGCCACGGTAAGCATTTTGTCTTCCCCGCGAATGTTTTGACACCGAGTATGACTGCATTTTCTTGACATGATGCTTGTTTTCAAGTCTCATGGACAAGCCTGTAGGCTTATGTTCACTGTGAGGAAAGAGCGCCCCCCAGAGGTGCTCATTCAGACCACTGTGCCCATTTGGACCGTCCTCACCTGCAAAACCAGTGAGCCAGATTGTCAGAAATTGGTCGACGGGCAAAAAACAAATGTAGACTTTTATTTTTGGGGTGATTGAGTGGTGTATCGCGGAGAAAATCTGTGTGACTTGGACGTTAATGTTTTTGTGCTACATTTTGACTCCGCCCACAAATCCCATCCAAATATCGGACTTTTGCCCAACCTGGCTAAAGAAAAAGGTTGAGCGGTGCATCAACAACAATTCGGCATCAGCAAGCTGACCTACCCTTGCCTTGCTGCGAGGGAAACGGAAGGCTTTTGCTGCGATCCGGCGAGTAGCTCCTGCTGCTCACGCTGGAACCCGAGCGGCTGTGGGGGGAGCGGTCCCTGGGGGGCGGGAATGGAGGGGCCTTTCTCCGGTAGTCCTGTCTTTCATCTCTGAGAAAGCACAAGTAGACAAGAAATGTGGTTCAGAGACTTCATCGGGTAAAGAATGTTGTCAAGGTACAACACTGCCATCTAGCATCCACTTGATGAACATGCGGTTCATTCAGACTACATTTCAAGGTTTGTACGCAAATATAACACCAGGCCCAAAAAAATACAGTATATCCAACAAAGAGACGAGCCACAGAAAGACCAAAGCTTTTTTTTTCTTTTTTTTTAATTCATACCCTCGGTCCAGGTTGAGGATGGCTTGCACGAGAGTATCTGCCCCACTTTCTGGGAGCGATCGAGGCGTTGGGTACATGCCTTGGTTCCGAGGTGGTGGTGGTGGTGCACGACTGCTGAGAGAATAGGAAAAAAAAAAACAATTACATTTCAACCAAAATAGTTACACAATGTCACTTACACAAATTGCGAATGGTGGAGCTTTTTGCTCAAGCGTAGCGTAAAAAAATGATTAAGCATATACCCGGCAACCAGAAATTAAGAGGCCACCTCACGCGAAATGCTGCATGTATAGAGTCCATTATAAATGTGTAGCAAGCATTTACTTGTAGTCCATAGGCCGTCCTGAGTGTTGCTCCTCCCTGGGTCCTCGGTAAGAATAATCCTCCTGCTCAAAAGACAAAAAAAAAAAGAAGCAATCATTCAGCTTTTCAACTTCATATTTGCATGCAATATGACTTGTATGGTATCTATGCGTTCACCCTTCTTGATGGAGGACCGCCTCTGCGTTCTGAGGGGAAATGACCGACATCCCCGTGGTAGCCCCGTTGATCTTCTCCGTGGTAATTACGTGGGCCTCCTCCATTTGGGAAAAAGCGAGGGCCTCCTTCATATTCATAACCATCAGGCCTCCCAAAGTGGCCTCGCCGCTCGCCTCCTCGAGAGTATTGACCCTGTACAGGAGGGTGAATATTAAGAGGTGAGGCCTGACAACAATGTGGTTATAGAAGACGTGATAATCTGGTAGAAACATACTCTCCCCGGCCTGTCGGACATAAAACGATCTTCATACACCTCTCGTACACTCCTCTCCCTCCTGTAAGTCACTACGCCGCCACAAAAAAATTAAAAAAAACAGATTACACCCAATTTGTCAGCATGTAACGTCTCCCAACATCTTTAGGAAAAAAGAAAATAATAAATGGAACAAAGGCATGCATATGTTGTATGCATTTCTTATTTGACCAACTCACTCTCTGATGAAGGGGCTCTCCGGGTTGTTTTTGGGTGAAGTCTTTCAATAAAACCTGAGGAAAGTTACAATTTTAAAAAATTACGTTTACTCAACCGGTATTAGCCATTCAAATGCAACAGTATCGCCAAAACAATGTCCAGTTGCAGGCAAACAAATTAATGCAGGTCGAAAAGCCTTAACCTAAACGTGGCTGTAGCTACTAAACGGATTCCACTACACCGCTTTTGCAGTAACGTGTCAATAATTCACGAAAGAAAAGACAAAAACACGACGTTTCAGCGTTTCAAGTCTTTTTAGGCAGACTCGTACTAGCATTGCTAATTAGCTAACGGTAGCCTGTTAATACGGTGACGAAATGCGCGTCGTTTTATTTACAGTTAAATCATTATTACCGCCCAAGAAAATGAACTATAACCAAATAATGGCATGTCCCGGATACTGGACGACATTTAAGTAATTACAAACCGGCTTGAATATCGATTAATTATACAGTACTCACTTTAGCCTTTCCGAACGCTACCATTCGAACAGCGCGTAGTTTATTGGACACGCGTTGACGTCATCAGTCAGCGACGTAGAGGAGCATTTCTCCACTCGTCCGGATCCAGGAATACGAGACTTTTGGACAACATTTAGGCCCATTTGAATCATCTTTTTTTTTCCAAATTAAATTTATCTGTGTTGGTAAGTGATTCTGACATGGAGAGCTGTAATTTGTGTTTTATATGGCGTGCCTGGCAAACTGAACCCACGTTACTATCTTTATGAATTGTGCATTTTTCTTTCAGTTTCGTGTAAATTAAAAATAAAAAACATGAGCGGGGGCTTAGCACCGAGCAAAAGCACTGTATATGTGTCGAACCTGCCATTCTCGCTCACCAACAACGACCTCCACAAGGTAATTGAGCATCCGTACGGTTTTCCACATAAAATCCGTATCAAAATTGTAAACATGTTATTTCACCTGCCTCTTTTGCAAAAACATACAAATAACAAAGGGCTTGTAACAATTTCAGCTGTTCACCAAATATGGAAAAGTGGTTAAGTGAGTATGTCACTAGTCTCTATTGCAGCTTTACATATCCGTTCACTTTATTAAACACGAAACCCCCGTCCGTGGTGGCTTTCTATTTCTCAGGGTTACAATTGTGAAAGATAAAGACACTCATAAAAGCAAAGGGGTAGCATTCGTTCTTTTCTTGGACAGAGATTCAGCTCATAACTGTGCAAGAGCAGTGAACAACAAGCAGGTGGGTAACGAATTTGCAAATGTTTTTGTTATTGTTATTGTGAATGCACGTGAGTTACATGTGCACATTTCTTCCAGTTGTTCGGTAGAACTGTAAAAGCCAGTATTGCAATCGACAACGGCAGAGCGACTGAGTTTATCAGGAGGCGCAACTACACAGACAAGAGCAGGTGTTACGAATGTGGGGTCAGTGCAATCGTGATGGCTTTGGGTGTTGTACAGTTGGGTCGTTTTACAGCTGTTTAGTGTTGTTCTAAACTATTCCAGGATACAGGTCACATGAGCTATGCGTGCCCCAAAAATATGCTGGGAGAGCGAGAGCCGCCAAAGAAGAAGGAAAAGAAAAAGAAGAAAAAAGCTCAGCAACTAGAACATATGTAAGTAACAAGACATTTGCAGGAAATAGGTTGCCTCTTCTTTTAATGCTAATAGCCTTTTATTTCCTTCATAGTGAAGAAGAAGAACTGGAAAGCGAGGAAGAAGGAGAGGACCCAGCACTCGATAGTCTCAGTCAAGCCATAGCTTTTCAGGTTGTTGGGGGGTTTTTTAGATGTCACTTGGATATCAAAACAACTTAGCAAAATAAGAAAACCACTTACTCAACTGCACTGGGAAAAGGGAGCGATTCAGAAGGAGTCTTGGAACACAGAAAAACACATCACATTAATGTCTATGGTAAACATATGTAGATTAAACATGATGTGATGAACATCTCTAGTTATTGGAACTGAATTGTCATATGGTTAACATACCAAGTAATGTAGCGCCACCTTTTGTAGGTTTAGACATGACTGTCTTGACTTCTAATTTTACAAACAATCCTTCAAGGTAACAGATTTACTCGTCCCGCCATGGTAGTGGGGTGAAAAAAATGGCTTGTTTCTTCTGTCTCCTTCCAGCAAGCGCGTATCGACGAAGAGGAGAAGCAAAGAAAAAAGGTGGTCGTGTCCCAAGACGACGGCGCTCATCCTTCTTCCTCCTCAGACTCCAGGAAACTACGGATCAAAAAGAGCACATACTTCAGTGATGAGGAAGAGCTGAGCGACTAACGTGGACTAGTTTGTTGGTTTCAACAACCCCGTGTATCGATATGTATGGAAATGTCTTTTATTGGAGAGATGCACAACCCTCGTCCTGTCGTTTTGTTACAGGTCATATTTGTTTTGCCTTCTTTTCAACTGGTGATATAAAATGTATTTATTTGTAGAAGTTTATCTCAGACAATTGATTCACTGTAAATGAATAGTAAATTTGTTGCTTATACAGTACATTATTTTTTTTTTAAAGTTTTATTGTAATAACACAGGTGTTTACATTTTTTGATCAGAGATGCAAGTAAACCTTTCTCAATATTTCTCTGCAAATTTCGACTCTGCCCTCATGTTTTGTTTTCTCTAGCAATTCAGGTTTTCCTACTAAGAGTATTTATGAATTAAGGGTTAGGTCCAGCAACTAAAAAAAATGTTTAAACCAGCGTCAAAAGTACTTGTAGGGACACGCAAAGCCATTTCTGACAAGTTTGCTGATGACCAGTGTAAAGGGTTAATTGCGATTACATAAATACGATTGAAGAATGATAATTTATTCAAATGAACGACACACCCGATGAATATGAAATGTGCCCCGTGAACGCAATTTTTTTTGCCCACAACTCCTTTACAAGCTAATCACAGTTAAAATGTAACAAGATTTGCATTATAATCGCGTGAAAATAGAATGGCGTACTAAAACTCCTCTTGGACTTGGAAGACAGCTCATGAAAAATACGAGCACAAGAACGGATCTGTTCGCGCATCTTTCTATGTCGTCGTCGGTTTGGCGGATGTACCATTCTATTAAGAATGGAAAAAAAAGCCAACTAAATAAATAAATAGGCGGTTGGCGACCTAGATGTGGACATTGAGGACAAATGAACCCCTTCCAGAGACACCCTGGTCTGGCATGGGCGACAAGAGGAGTCCCACAAGGTAACGACGGCGGCTAGAGCGGCCTAGACGACCGAAATGAAGCCGTGTGGTGGGGGCAGACAGTGGCGAGGGCGAGGGGGGGGGCGGGAAAAAAAAAAGAAGCCTTTTTTCTCCACGGTGTCTTCTTGCCCCCCTTTTTGGCGTGCATGTGCTTGTGTTTGTGCGAGCGTGCGCGCGCGCGCGACTGTTAAAGCCTGATTACGGCGTTGGGATCACGGCGCGCGTTCACACGATTTCCCTTCTGTGATCCTCGAGCCAGATGTGTGCCATCGGTAGCAGTCGCTCGGTGCAAAGGGGCCACCCTCTCTTGTCTGCACGCCGCGGCTTCCCTCGCTTATTTGTCCGTGTTTGTTTTCAAGGCCGAAGCGTCAACCGAAGCCCTCCTCCGACGAGGGGTTTTGGGACTGCAGCGTGTGCACGTACAAGAACACGGCGGAGGCTTTCAAGTGCATGATGTGTGATGTCAGGAAAGGGACATCAACAAGGTAAGAACGGTGCACGTTGGTCTATCTATCGCGCCTTGAATCTAATTTGTACCGCTTTCCGGTATGGATTTACAACTCTCATTTATGAGAGAGCAAGAACATCGCAGTCTTCAATTTAACTGTCAATCAAAGAACAAATAGGACGTCTTGTCCCGGCTGTGAGTGCGGTTACGTTCCATCGTCCCAACACTTGTGGGAAGGATAGACTGGACTTTCTCGGTACTGATGTCACGGCATCGCCGGAAGGTGACAGCGTCCAATCGGATTGCGCTGATGTCATCGCCTATAATCGATAATTCCCAACCTTTTCTGAGCCACGGGACACGTTTGGAAAGTCCCAGAGAATACCGCCAAAGAAAAAAAAAAAAAAAGAAAAAAAAAGAAACCCTAAAAAATGTACCCAAAATGCTGATAAACATTCATCAATACATGGAAAATGTGGGGGAAAAAAATAGACTATATGCCGTGAAAGCTTGGGTGGCAGCACAGAACCTCCCCGGAGTGAACAACGTTGGTTTTGTTGTCGCGTGTTCCGATCAATGACGTGATTGATGGATCGGCAAATTATGATTACAACCGATCCGATTTGTGTTAAGTCTTAATTTTATGTACCTCTAACTATCAATTGCAGGAGCATCTCATTGACCTGCCTGTCACGACACGTTGCTAGCATAGATAGATGAACAAAGATTCATTATTTGTCGTCAACAAATGATTTCGAGCCAATGAAGTGAAATGGGATCATTTCCTGCGGCACACTGGAGCGCTCGCGTGATGATGTCAAAATGTGCCATTTTCAATCGGTTTGCGTTTGTCTTGACACCGACCTTGGTGAGATGCGAGTAACACACTCGTCTCGGACTCGATGGCGCTGGAGATGGCGTGGGGGGGTGTGGGGGGGTGGAAGCTAACATGCTCCCCCTCCTGTGCCGCTGCTGATATTGGAGTGAAGCGATCCAGGAAATGAGTGCTATTCCTGCTGGACACTCTAACAGGATGAATACACAACAAAGGGCTGGGCGGGAGGAAACGCAACTTTAGTGCAACATCCAAACGTGAATGTGTGTGTGTGTGTGTGTGTGTGTGTGTGTGTGTGGGAAGGCTCGCTATGAAAGAGGTTGTCACCGCAGCTGCCAGAGCGACAGCCATAGCTTATTACTATGCAACAGCTTAATCAGCCTGCTGTCATCAGACACGCTCACGCTCAGATGCACATTTCGCACTTGGCCGCACACACCACACACACAGACACACACATTCTGAGTTACCTGTGTTGTGGAGACTGTAGGGACTCGTCACGCTCTTGTGTACAGCGGCTGCAACTGGGTTATATATATATTTTTTTACCCTCCACGTTTCTGACCACATTTCGACGTTGCTTTGGTCCACGCTGCATCTTTGCTGGCTGATGTTATCACAAAGCCAACGTCATTGAAAGCCTGTCCGGAAGCATCGTTTCATTGACACTTTAAGCACAGACACACACAGACCGCGTTACTAAAATTCAATGCTTTTTTTTTCACCTCCTGCGATTTTCTGCGGCTCGACGGCAATTCCCGCTTGTGTGGTGGTGCTGGTGGTCAGCTTGCCAGCTGTCGAGGTTCCCATCGCCTCCATTGGCCAAGGTTGCTCCGACGATGTTTGCGCCAACCTTGGCTCGAGCACCAAACGAGCAGCCGAAATGGTCCCGTATTCTTCATCGTGTCAATCATGTTTTCTGCGAAAACAGTTCAAAGAACAAAGCACAAACGTGACCAAACCACAATCAAATTTTCAAAATGTCGATAAAACGAGCCAGCATCCAGATGCACTGTATTTCGGTTCTTGTGGGTCGTGGGTACAGGACCGGGCTGAAGCCCGCAAAACGCATGCTCTCGCGGGGCGATCACTAAATCGCAGCCGCGCGCTTTGGCCGCTGAAACGTTGGCGGGTTGGCTCGCCAGCGCTGCGGCAAAGATGGTCGCGCAGGTGGTCGCTGCTGTTAATGGGCGTGCAAAATAGACAGGCGGCTCGCTCGGCACGATGGTAAAGGGCAAACGACACGCAGCATACAAATGCAAGATGGAGACGGCTCCCTCGCCGGTTACTAAACAAGTGTGACAGAGCTGTAAAAATGAAAACGAGTGTAGCAAACCCACGAGAATTGCATCTCGGTTTGGTGCCGAGCCATTCTATGCCGAGTTACGCCGGTGCTATTTCGATGCTAGCTTTGCGCAACGTGGCTCGGCTTAGATGTTTTTCCTACGTACGATGAGACATCTTGTCATGCCACCCTGGCCGAGGTCCTCCAGTGCCACTCTCCTGCACGTTGAAGACGTTTCCTTCCTCCAACACACATGATCAGCTCATCGGCAAGCGCTGCAGAAGCCCGAGAACGATCCTGGTCATTTGAATTGCGATAGATGTCACATTGACTAACCAGCCAGTACTTGCCATAAATTCCTGCAACTCATTGTTGCTGTTGGCCTCTTGGCAACCTCCCTGACGTATTTCCTTCTTGTCCGATTGTTGGGAATGTCACTGCAATGCGATTACAAAAAAATGTGGGGGGGGGGGGAGACTCCGAGAACAGCTGAACTTTATCTTAGGTTAATCAGCCACTGGAAATGGTGGCCGGCGTTTGCTGAGCCCCGTTTAATGAATTCTGAACATCGCTGCAAGTGCTACCTTGATGTTGAAGGCATCGGTTCGGTTCATCTTGGGTCAAGTTAGGGAACGGAATGCAAAACAAATTGCTCGTGTTTTGTGTAAACAGATTGAACGGCATTTAAAAAGAGACATCGGCGTCTTAAATCTTGCCGATTTTTGGAGTTAAGTGCTGCGTAAATCATTTTCTTTTCGTCAGAACTGAAAAATGCGGGCGTCGAATAGGGAATGACTATCATTGAAAATGATGAATTTGAATAGTTTCCCCCTTTGGCCTTTGTGACTTCCTCCCCAACACCCACACCTTCCCTCTTACGCGCACACGCACACACACACACACACACACACACACACACACACCCCCTTTCTGTTTTCTGCGTTTGCTCTCTCACCGGAGTTGAACTTAACCCAGGGCATATCCTACGCTGACAGGCGGACTGATAGACGGCTTTCATCAGCGCTGCATAAACAAGCGGCAACCTTCTCCGTCGGCATTTGGAAGCGTGTCATCCGCCTGCACCGAAATTGGCTTTGACGACAGTTGCCAGACGGCGAACACACGACGATGAATCGGAATTGAAGCCGAACGTGGGCGGATGCATCAGCGCAGAGCGCGGCACTCTCCTTGCAAATAAGGCCTGCAGAGTTCACGGGGGCAACACGTGAGGCGTTGTTTGTTCGAGCCCATCGTGCGGGTCGAACGGAATTTTGTCGAGCCGAGCCATGTTTGCTCTGCTGCTTTTCTAACCGATCACGCCCTTCAGGTTACCGCTTCCAGTGCCGCATACAAATAGTGAACATACACGGAGGGGGTTACAATGAAGCGTGCCGTAGGCCCGTCACCACGGCTCAAGATTACGGCTACGTGATAAGCCTGTAATTATGGCGCTGACACTGATGCATGACATTCAGCTCCGAGCGGGAGTCGGGATGGGGAGAATGTGGCGGTGTGGCTAGCGGGCTGTCTAAAAGGTGTCATAAAGCACAGGACGTGACAAGCCATCTGTTCCCCCCCCCCCCCCACACACACACACAGGCAATCATCCGCACAATGCTAGCATGTCGAGGCGGGAAGAGGCATTAATCATCAGGTTGGATGCGCTCCCGGGAGCGAGCCTCACTACCTGCTGTTCGAAAGCGCACGAGCGGGTCCTGACACACGCACGCCCACACCCGAGCGGAGAATGCGCGGCGGAGCATAAAATAAGCTATTTGGCAACAATCATCACAGAGCCGAGATGAATGGCGTCGTATCTGCCATGCGGGTTTGTTTGTTCGTCGCACAAAAAGGGGGAGGGGGGGGGACCTGCTGTAGCACACAACGACGCCATCCAGCGACTCTTAAATACTTAGCTGGGGGCCACGATAGCCGACGCGTGCACTCAATACCGACGCGGTGTACAGATTGGTCAGTACGGCAAAAATCAAGCGAGTCGATTTCAAGCTGCGGAACACGAACTGATGAGCTCCGAGAGACTCAACAATAGCAGAATGCTACCTTGAGCGTGCACACACTCCTGTCTCTGTCCTACGTTTGAAAAAAGGTTGCCATAATGCGCTCATTAACCGGGAATGTGGCGGTCCTCCTACTTCCACCCCTTTGGGAAGACTTAGTACAAACTTTGGTGTGTGTCTTTTTTTTTTTTTTTGGGTCAAGCCAGATGTTGGAAGCGTGCAAGGTCGCCGGGTGCGGCGGTGAGGAAGGGAGCTCGAGGAGTGTGATCGTGCTAAACACTCGTCGGCGTGTATTTGTGTGCGCGCACCCAAGTATGTGCTTAGGACATGTTTGGGGAGGGGTTAACCGGAGTTCCTCTGACAGGAAAGTAGGTGTGAGGGAACAGTTGCACTCGGATGCCTGCAGGACAGGACGAGTTCAAGGTGCGTTTAAAAAAAAAAAAAGGTGTGCATGACGGTTGCTGGGGCAGCTTGTGCGCCAAACGTGCATTTATTGGCGTGGAAAATAGTCCATTGTTTTCGCCACCATCTTGTGACATCAACGGAGTCACTGCACACGATCGCGAGGCCGAAAGTGCGCCGATAATAGCCGCTTGATGGGGTTAACAGACCCCCCTCTGTTTGGACGCGGCGCGCTCAAATGAGATTGGCCGTCTCCTCTTTCAGCTTCGGGTTATTGAACTGGCAAAATGGGCGAGATTCTCTTTCAGAGCAAAACAATGTCATTAGGCGGGCAAGAGCGCACGGAACGTTTGTCATATTTCAGCCCGGCGAGGCATCTTTGAATTCGATCCAAATGGAAGCGTCGGTCGCCTCCCGAGGAGTCGGCTTGTTTAGAGCTCGGCGAGGCGGCCGCCGTTCAGCCTCAGGGCAGGAAAGACAATGTGAGGTTTGTGAGCACTTTGTCGGTTGTGGCCGCCGCACAAAACAAGCTTTGTCACTTCGGGAGGAGGAGGATCAGGTTTGTCGAGGAGAGCGGCAAATTGCTTCAGCGGGAGGGTTGGAGGCGGCATTTTGGGTCGGCGGTGGGGTGGGTGGAGGGGGGGGTGTCTTTATTTAAAAGGTGTCAGCGGTTCAGCAGACAAGATGGGATAATATTGGAGGACGGCGGCATCGTCTCGCATCGCACTCCAGCATCACGACGTGGTGAAGATGCAACAAACAAAATGATGCGGCGCGGGGGGAAGGGGGGTATATATATATATATATATATATATATATATTTGGGGGGGGGGCACCAAATTGGGTCACCGTTGAATCATTTAACAACGCTCATGCCCGCAGAACTAATAGCACTGACATGCACAAGTTGGATTTTTCACAATCCATTGCGTCTAATCAGCGGCGCTTTTTCAAGAGTTGGCACACGGCTTCGTGCACTCACTTTACATCTCAAGCTTGATTTTCACATCGAGCTACCGTGGAGCGAACACTATCAAACATTAATGAGCACTGTGCTCGACGGTGCGTCCCATCATGCCCTTGTGCCCCACCCCCCTCCCGCGCACGTCTGGACGAAGGTTCCTCGGAGAGCCATGTACATCAACTGGCCTTTGTTTTTAAAAGACGCGGACCTCAGGTACGCGGCGGTGTTGCTTTTTTGCGCCGCGTCATCCTGCGTTTGCGCGTACGCGAGCGGGCACAAGATGCGTGCCGGCCGCTCTCGACAGATGGCCTTTTCAGAACACTTGCCTCTCGGCTTGGGGTCCTGCCAGCCCTTGAAGCGCGCACACATGCGCGCGCGCGCCCCCCGTGAAAGCAATACAGTTACAGCCTTTGTACAGGCACCGACAGCCGCCACGGATCAGTCGGCTGGCGAGGGATGCTGGGCAGACGACGTGAATACGAGAGTCTCGTCGTTCGTGTTTACTATTACGCAGCCGTGATTTAAGTGACTTAAAGCGAATCGCATTGAATATTCGGGGCCTGCAATGAACGCTTCAAGCCTGGCGTACGCCCGGCCGACGGCTTTGTATAATGGGTTCGGAATGGCTGAATCTGTATTCTACATGCAGCGAGTGTCACCAACTGCCACTTTGTCGAACGCTTTGGGTGCAACCCCCTAACCGGCCCTGGCAGCCATTATCGGCTCTTGATTACGGCGGCGCGCTAGCACGCGGCAATGTGCTCGCTATGATATTCCCTCTCATTAATCTGCCACACGTCTCTTTTTCTCCTAACCACCCCTGTCATCCCCTCACGCCCCGACCCGACAGGAAGCCACGCCCAGTCTCCCAGCTCGTCTCGCAGCAGCAGGCCACCCAGCAGTTCGTGTTACCCTCGCAGCCCAAGAAGGAGAAGAAGGAGCGCGTCGAGCGGGAGAAGAGCGACAAGGAGCCGGCGCTCAAGAAGAACAGTCACAAAAAGATGAGGTGAGCCACGTGATGCCCGGTGAAGGGAGGCATGCAGTTGTTGGGAGGAAGACTGGAACATCACGAGAATTCCACGCAGATTTTTAAAAAATAAACAAAAAAAAAGATCCCAAATCGTCCCATGCTATCGTACACGCATTCAGAAATGTTTTGAAGTTGCTCGTGGCAGCTGACGTGACTCGCCTCTCGATAGTCGGAGCCCCGTTTCAATTTATAATTTTAAGTTACCATCACAATCTGCTGCCACTAACATCAACACGCCATCCCTGAAGTCATGTTTGGTGGCGAAAAAAAAAAACCCTCACCTAAAAAAAAAACCTCCAATAAATGACGCTGACATTGTATTGTACGGCGCAGGAGCGGTTCGCAGCTAGCCGCTAAGAGTGGCGCTTGGCCATCGTAACGTCGTCGTCGTATTTACGACTGCAAGATGGAGTCATTACAGCGTTTTATCTTGATTGGATCTGTTGACGGTTTTGTTTTAAATTCATTTGTTACTTTCATCTTTCGTTTGACTTTCATTTCTATTCTGATTTTTTTTAATTCGCCGCAACATACTAGCTTGTTTTACTTATTACTATAATTTTCATGAGTACAGAGAAAAATATACTTTTTAAGGGCAATTTGGGGGTCGGTCGTATTATACTGGGGTCAATGTTATTTTACGGCATTTCTTTCATGATTTTATTTTTTTCAGGCCCAGGTTAAAAAACATTGACCGTAGCAGCGCCCAGCACCTGGAGGTGACGGTGGGCGACCTGACGGTCATCATCACGGACTTTAAGGAGAAGGCCAGGCCCTCGTCCACCTCGGCGTCATCCTCGAGCGCCGCGTCATCTGCCGCCGACCAACACAGCCAGAACGGCTCCAGCTCGGAAACCACCGAGAAGGGGCTCTCGCGCTCGTCCTCGCCTCGGGGAGAGGGCGGCTCGGTTAATGGGGAGTCCCACTGAGCCCGCCCTTTCCTCCCATCCCCGCCCCGACCCGGCTGACTTTCTGTAATTGCTTTTCAAGTGGGAACTCTGAGCCTTTGTCAGGCACAGGCCCATCAGGAGTTGAATCAGTCACCTCCGTGATTTGCGAAGCTTTCCGCACGACGGGAAGCTTTTCATTTGGACGATTTTCGCGGCGCTTGAGAGAATCCCACGCATTGTGCGAAGCTTCCATACAGACAGCTTAGATTTTACAACAGCCTTTTTTCAGGACTGTGATGACATGCTCAGACACGCTATGAACAGTGAAGTGCTCCGGGGATACATATTTTTTTTGGGGGGGGGGGTCCAGTGCCCATCTGTCACACCCTGCAATCTCAAACCCTGAAACTTGTACTTCTATTGAACTTCTACTGTGGAATCAAGGAAGATGTTTTTGGCCTGGAGAATATTCTTCAGCAGGGCTATGCTCATTTGTTGGCAGTTTTTTTGGGGGGTATTAAAGACCACATTTAGGGAAGGTTTAGTATATTCTTAAGGGTCATACCAGTGATTTTTTGTTCTTGTTCGAGTGATGGAGACTTGAAGCTAATTGGACGACGTGGGATTTGTTGTCCTCAAACGCTATTTTCAGGAATGGATTCAGTTGCGTCATCTCGCCGGGTTCAAACAAGCCGGCTTGGAAGTAACTCAGGATTGACACCCATCGAAATAGACGTCTCTGCACATCCCGGCAAATCAGGTTTCAGACGCGGTGAAAAAGAGGACAGGCCGTTTGAGAAAGCAACATTTTGGCCGGTCAAAGTGAGCATTGTTTTGTTTTTTTGGTTTTTTTTTCCCTCTGGAATAAAATCGCCGCCGGCGCACAAAAGGCAACTCCTGCGCGACGAGCCAAGACGACGCAGATGCGGTTCTGTGGACCTCGTCGTGGCTTAGGCGCCACGTAACATGCGGAAAACTTCGGGACATTTATTTGCCAGGCAGATGATAGCTCGCGGTGGGATGAATTTCAACAACGGTTTATGCTCCATCATTTTCATGTAGCCAACTGTCGGAGCTTTAAATGTACTAAACTCCCGGCCGAGCAATGAATAGTTATTGTAAGGACACAAATACGTCTACATTTCAAACTTTTAGAGTCACACAGATTAATGGATATTTATGATATATTGTACTACCATACCATGTTTTGATGTGGCTGTATGTGTCATATCAGTGTTATTGCCATGTTTGATTGTTTTCCCATTTTAAGCGGTGATTCAACTGTCACAGCATGATGAAATGTGTTCGAACGTGGGACAAGTTGGTATTGTTTAGAGCTATGGTTCAAAACACTAGCTGGGACTATGTGCGTGGGCCCGTGAGAACTGCTTAGAAATGTGTTACTTGGTTGTGGCAACAATGGAATATATATATTTTTTGGGGGGGGGGTATGTTTTTTGTTGATACATCTCCTTTTGCTTTGCTCGGTTGTTAGGAAATGTGTGTTAATTACATGTCTGTCAGAGTAACAAAACGCAAACAAAAAAATACTATTAGATGCAGTTTTACTTTTGATTTATTCTATTAAATTGCCTTGATTACATGCCAAACAAAGACAGCATATTGCTGTACTGTACCGTATGTACGACTATAGATTTTTTTTTCACCCTTTAGCCCCACCTGGTGAATCGTTTAGTAAATACTGTACTGTTTAATATATGTGGGATAACAAAGCCCTCCACCCTCCCCTGCTAGTAGAAATACAGAAATAATGCATACTGCAGTTGAATACCACCTATTGATTAGCAGACATTCTAAATGTCAATAAACAAGCTCATTTTCCCTCTGCTTCATTAACATGCAATTGAACACGAGGCTGCTGCTGCTGCTTGTGGAAGAAGCTTTTCAGAGGTGAAGTCAAATGAAAGTTGACTAAGGGGGGAGGAACCCCACCCTTCCCCCATGACCTCTTGAATCTGTTTGGGAATTTCAAAAAGAGGAGACAACGAAGGAAGACCACTCCCGGAAACTCTTGTACCCTAAAAAATAAAAGTGCCGCACAACAGTGGGACAAATATTTGCATTCTCTCTATTATGTGGTACAGTGTACCACCCCGAACGTACATTAAGGGCCGTTTGAAACGGCACTGTTGAGTGTTAAACTTTTAAACTGTGGGGCACTATGTAATACAGATAAATGCTTCGTCATTTAAATCTAACCGGAAATGCTTCCGCGTTGCCGTTAACTTATATTTAAATATTCGCGTTCTTATGTGTCATGACTTTAGCCTCGAGTTCCGCGCTAAACCTCCAGAATGCGGCGTTACATTCGTGCACTGCTGATGTGCACCGTGTTTGCGGTATTTTCGGGATTGTACGTTTATAGTGCACTTTTTGACGCGGATGTGTCGGCCGGGGCAAACGGGGTGAAGACGATTTACGTCCCCCCGAAAGTCCCGCGACCCGGGCAGGAGGACCCGGACGAAGCGGGACCACAAAGCTCACATCGACACAACAGGTGAGGAGAAAAACGCGCGTCCTTGTCACCGTTCACTCGTTTAAACGACTAACTATACTTGCCCGACATTTGTGGCTCAAGATGTTTAGAAATTGTAATTGCACGGAGCGCTGGCTATTTATGACGTCACGGCTTGGTTCATAAACGGGATTCACGCGAGACTTGAGCATGCGCGTGACTCGGAGGGAATGATGCGTTCAGGTACGTCAAGAAAATCAGACGGACTACATTTTTTTTTTTTTTTTAAAGTCCAACTCAGAATAAATCCTTCACAAATCAAGTTTTTGGACTTTTGAAATTTCAAGCTTCAGATGACAAATATAACCAACTAACAAAGTTACAAAAGCGCCCAATCGTGGTTGACTGAGTATCGTACTGCGCTCAGCGAACCCTCTGACCTAATGGTCAACTGATGACTGTTATGGTGTAATATCGCTCAGGTACATCATGCGTCAGCGGGGCGAGCTGGAGGTCGGCGGCCAGAGCAGACCTCCCCCCAGCATGCACTTGGCTGTGGTGGCCTGCGGCGAGCGCCTGGAGGAGACTGTCACCATGTTTAAGTCGGCTGTGCTTTTTAGCTTCAAGTGCCTCCACTTGCACATCTTTGCTGAAGACCAGCTGCACGCCAGGTTCATGGAAGCAGTGAGTAATCGTTTGGAAAATGATCAAAGCCAAGCAGTGTCGAGAATCTGACGAGTTGTTTTGCAATTTGGAATGACGAACCAGCCGTTTCTTCTTTTCTAGTTGGAATCCTGGCCCGGTTTTATACGCTCCAGGTTCAACTACACCGTCTACCCCATCCGCTTCCCCAGTGAGAATGCGGCAGAGTGGAAAAAACTCTTCAAGCCCTGTGCCTCCCAGAGACTCTTTCTACCTGTGAGTAACAATCACCACTGCAGCTTTGAGAGAACGCATTCTTGTTGGCTCATTCTTGTTTTTGATGCGCAGCTTATCCTGAAGGACATTGAATCTTTAGTCTACGTGGATTCAGACATCCTCTTCCTACAGCCTGTCGACCGTCTGTGGGATTTTCTATCTCGGTTCGATTCCGCGCAGCTGGCCGCCATGGCCCCTGAGCACGAGGAACCCCGCATCGCTTGGTACAGTCGCTTCGCCCGGCACCCGTTTTACGGCAGAACAGGCATCAACTCGGGGGTCATGCTCATGAACCTCACAAGGATGAGGAGCATGTTTTTTAAGGTGAGGGGGACAGGTTGCTGTCGTGGTGTTGTAATACAACCGATGGCCACAAGATGTCCCTAGCGCACTGTATTTGATTCAGAATGCAGTACCGGGCTTTAGTTACATGTAACTTTTTTTTTTTTTGTGGTCAGAATGATATGACCTCCGTGGGGCTCAGATGGGAGGAGCTGCTCATGCCACTGCTTCAAAAATACAAACTCAACATAACCTGGGGGGACCAGGATCTTTTAAACATTATTTTCCACTACAATCCTGGTGAGTGAAAAGTCCCGAGTTGCAAAAGGGTTGCACTTTGCCAAAACGTCCACTAGATGTCGCTCCAAGCACATTGTGCTTTCTTCCGCGTTAATTGCCTCTTTTTGGCTGTTTGCAATTATCGATCTCCTCGCGCTTGTCCAGAGCTCCTGCTGGAGTTTCCGTGTCAGTGGAATTACCGTCCGGATCATTGCATCTACGGCAGCAACTGCGCTTCCGCCGAAGACAACGGGATCTACATCCTGCACGGAAACCGAGGCGTGTACCACGACCATAAGCAGCCCGCCTTCAAATCGGTCTACGAGGCCATACGAAAGGTGACTTTGAGTACCAGTCGTCTACTTTCACATTTGCTTGTCATTCAGCGATGGGAATTGCAAGCATTTATTTGCAGGGATTAACCAAATTGAAGGTGAGATCGGAAAGCTCATTTCCCTCCCGGGAGGACGTTTATGGGCTGTTTACCAGCAGTGTCATAATATTGACGACCGCGCTGGCATTTACTTAATGATGCCATCAGAGCAAATCTCATTGCCTTTCGACGAGGCATGGCATAGATCAGGCGAACGGCGGATCTATAGCCCATCGCGTGCAAAAATTACCTGCCGTGTGTTGTAGGTATTAATTTGGTTTCACTCAGCTTCTTGAGTGCATCACTATAATGGGCGGCTGGGACAATAAACGGTAAAGATTGTAGTGGAAGGATACAGTGCAGATATTTTGGCAATTTTGCTGATTTATGACAGACGAATTCTGAATGCAGAGTTGGTTGTGTTTTATTTTGGACTGTTCTGACTTTTGTCGGGAATAAAACACCTTGCGCCTCGCGGATTAACTTTTTAATTTATCCATTTGAGAGATATCGCCTGCACCAAATCTCCCTGAAGCTCCACTTAACACAGCTTTTTTTTTTTTGAGGGGGGTGTGTTCTGAGGCTGCTGATTGGTTTGAGAACTGCTTCTACAGCAAACTCTTTCAAGCCTGATTTTCTGGATATTAGCAAGAGAAAATGGCCGTGTCCGAGCTGGTCTCACAAAGTTGGAAGCATCTAACTTGCTTTTGTAACTTGCTCGCAGTACTCGTTTGGTGCCGATCCGGTGTCGTCCCTGCTGGCCCCGCTGGAGGAACAACTGCTGAAAACCACGCACACCTACTGCGGAAAATCCCACGCGCTCTTCACCAAGGCGCTGGTGCACAGCCTGGCCGGCATTAACGGGAAGGCGGTGCGCTTGCGGTGACACGGGCGTCAGCTGCATCACACATCTGGCACCTCTGTAGGGTGCACCTGATGAGCCATTTTTCAATTATGATTATTTTTGTTTCTAAGTTTGAACTTCTCTTCCATTGTTACGCTCCCCATGTTTTGTTTTTTTTTTCCTGACTAAATGCAAAAACCTCAAAGAGAAAGCCGTTTACTTTCCATATTGGAGAATATGTCAACCTGTATCAGAGAATGAAACAAATAATGTAGTTTTTTTAAGGATGTCACTCCACTCAAGTGTGTCTATTTTTATGTTGTTGTTTTTTTCCCTTTCCAACTGTGAATTTACGTTATTTTTGTTGGACTTGTGCTGCAAACTCTTCAAACCAAAGTATTACATTTTTTTTCTTTCAACACAATTGAATGTAAAATGTACAAAAAAATAAAAAATAAAATTGAGTGTAATCAGCCATTAAATGCCTTTTATTAAAATTAAGAAGACGCAATGTATCGGAAAACTGATCAGCGACGTCATCGATTCACAAACTACAGAAGCGTGGAACTGCCCAGTTCAAGAGTAAACTTTTTTTCCCCAAACGCTCCCAAAATGCTACGACACATTTCAAGCGTTGAGTCAATGATGACCATTTACTGACATTTTTAAAAAAATTAACCAAAAAAAGAAAAAAAAAAAGGTGGACTCGAAGCCCAGAGGGTTCAAAGTAAGAACTAAACACGTTTCAACTCTCGCCGTCGCTTCCTCGACACTCAGCAACAGCAAATAAGCAGTTGGACTTTCTCTGCAGGCACCTAATGGAGACGGATGCCGCGCTTGTGCAACAGATCGATGCACTTGTCAATAATCTAAAAACAGACCACCTGAGGTGCTCCGCCGTGTGTGCCCGAGCTGGGGGGTGCTCATAAAGCGCAAGTGATGGCCCAATAGCTGTGATCCTGGACAACATCGACTGGGGGTGGGTGGTGAGGGGGTGATTTTATGTTTTCCCCCATGAGGAGCTGCACGCGGGCGTCTGTGTGCGTCTCCCCCCAGGCGCCTCGATACGTCGCAACACAAACAGGTGTCATTCATCACCATGTAGCTATATGAGAGCTTATCAATGATCTTTATTGGCCAGTGCTCGGAGGCAACATATAGCAGACTACGCCCCCCCCCCCCCCCGGAGACAAGCAAGGCATTGGAAAATTCAATATTACTGCATACAACCTGGCAATGTTTGTTTGTTTTTTTTTATTTAAAAAAACACAAATTGGGATTTTGTTTTCCAGCATAATGAGCAGCCAACGTGAAAGAGGTCCAAAAAAAAGGAGAGAAGAACGAGAGACAAAGTGAAGTACCTCAAGGTGAGGGCGACTATTTTTTTCCAAATAGTGTTGGCACAAAAAAGAAAGAAATAAAAAAGCTGAAATGACAGATGGGATAAGTGCACTTGGGAAGGACAGCGAAAGGCCCGATCGAGTGTGTTTTCATGGAAAAAAACAAGACAGACACAAAAAAAAGAAGGACAAGGTCTGCCACAGCCAATGGAGCAATTAGGACGTCTTGTGCGCGCTTTCTTTGGGTTGGTGCAGCTCGCAAAATGGTTTCATCAAAAGAAAACAAATCGAGAGATGTGATGATTTTGCACTGAATAGTTTTTGAATGGGCCTCGTTTTACATTCGGGTACAAATACTTAAAAACGGAAAGAGCGCCTCCTTTTTTATCATGCAATGGAGAGTCGAACCTCGTTTCAACATAGCGCGTTTTCACTTGTACAAACGTTCACGCTTCAAAGTCCCGATTTCACTTCATCTTCCTTTTGCCGATTTTGCTGACAACGAAAACCTGAATAACTTAAGCAACCAGATTTTATTTTATTGGAAATGGTGACGACGAACGACCGTTTTAACGTACCGATTCGTTATGTCCCTCGAGGTACATCGTAACTGGGATCGACTGTATCAATATCAACATAGTTCGTTTTTTTGGGGGGGTACGCAAAAACTTGTCATTGTACCGAGGTTTTTGTCTATTAACAGAGCTCTGCGTGGTATTTTTGCACGTTTGCGCGTGCGTGTGTACTCATGCGCTGCACAGCAGGGGGGCATTTACATGTTGTAATAGGGTCCATATATCACGGCTGGCCGTGTCATCTCGCACCCCCTCCCCTTATTCAAATGTGAGCACGTTTGATGTCCGGCGAGATGGAATGTGACATCTTTGCTCGGCTTGGTGACATCAAGACTGCACAGATTGCTTTATTTACTTCACAGCTTGCGCGCTCTGCCCACTTGTCAGACTGCAAATGCCACATGGAGCCAAGACGGAGGATTTCGAGACACTTTTGTTTTTCTTCCTCCCGCTGCTTTTAGGAAGCCAGCTCGAAGGAATCTCTTGTTTTTCTGCCAAATGTGGACATCGGTCCGATATTTATAGTTGGAGGGAAGGACGAAATGTTATTGTAACATTTGTGTGCTTCATTTTCCTTCCAGTGTGACTCGGTTATCAAACGGCGGGCTTGAGGCAGTCGGGCGAGCCAAAATGAGGTCGTTGCATACACACGACATCCAAGGATGAAGCCGCAAAATTGGACGGAAGTATTTCAAAACGCTATTCTGATACCACCACGCATAACGGGAATGTTGACTAAATCTTCCTAGTCTCATGAAAAAACCCACACGTACTCGCATTGCCCTTGCAAGCTTTTCATTGAGGTAATTACAGTGGCAGTGAATAGAGCCCGCGTGGACACCGGCGCTCGATTGTCGAGGCACCCGTCGCCCCGTAGACAGCAATTACCTGCCTGGCTAGAGGCAAGTTACAGGCAATTGCCGCAGTGAGTGCAAGTGACAGCGGCGGGGCGGGCGGGGAAGGGGGCGGGGCTGTGTTATATCCCCGCCCAGTTAGTGTTTCAGGCGCACTTTAGGTCAATCCGAGTCGCTCATTTTCACGTCGAGAAGAAAACTGTTGACTTTGTGAACCAGTCAGTGCGACGGTGGGGGAAAATGCGACTTCCTAATTGGACGAAACGCAACAATGGTGACGTCCAAAACCGCAAATGCATTTTTGCAGTGGCACTGCATGAGGAAATGAATGAACATTCATTCATACGTGTCAAGCCTGTTTTTTTTTTTTTCATCACCAGAGTAAATTTTGCGCTCTTTTTGAATTAAAAGCCACCCCCCCGACCCCCCACTTTCCACCAAATCACAGCCTTGCCGCTCACGGGCTCCCTCAGGTGTCAATTTACGCCTTGGGTCCGTTTTATTGATCTGCTCGGAGGCACACGTGTGTAAAAATCTGTGAAGCCAAGTTGAAATGCCAGCTACAAATTGACGGGCGCACGCCGTACGCGCATCCGTGCGCGTTTCACACACTGTGCTTGTCCGAGCCTGAAAGGCAGAGAAACACCTGCTATCTGTTCCCATGACAATAAGGCCCCACTGTGTTAATTTAAAGCCTTTAACTTGTTGTTATGCCGCGCGGCGGATGGCGTCAAGTGTGAAGCCCGCGCGCAAGACAATAAATCAATTGGACTACAGCTTAATTATCTATACGGGGGGGAGGGAGGGAGCAGGCATACATGAGGATGATTTGTCTATCACTTTAGACATGACGTCAGTGATTAAATGCGCAAGCTAACAGTTCAGCGCCCCGCTGGCTTTCAGAGTCAGCGAAATCAAATGCATTCAGAGAGAGCTTATCGGTCCTGTTTATCAAGCCCCAATCTTCCGGGGGGAGGATATGAAGCTGATGGCCTTTTTTTTCTTTTTAACAGAGTAGAATTGGTGGTATCACTTTAGACATGACGTCAGTGATTAAATGCGCAAGCTAACAGTTCAGCGCCCCGCTGGCTTTCAGAGTCAGCGAAATCAAATGCATTCAGAGAGAGCTTATCGGTCCTGTTTATCAAGCCCCAATCTTCCGGGGGGAGGATATGAAGCTGATGGCCTTTTTTTTCTTTTGGGGGGGGTGGGTTGGGGTGTGGGGGGGGGCACTCACCAGTACAGTCGGAAGGAGGGCGACTAACGAGG